ATAATCAGGGTTTAAATTTTCCTAATATCAAGTCACCTTATATTTCTATTCAATAATAATAAATTTGCAGTTATTTAACCCTATTAATCATAATTATCTGATTTGATATAAACTATGATTCATCAACTCAAGTTATTAAAATCTAGCTCAAACTCTATATATCATTTATTAGGTGTCATTATTTGAATTACTAAGCATTATATCAAAATCACAAGAATACTGATATTGATTATATAACATTAAATATCATAAAATCTGATAAAAAAAAATACAAAAAAAATAAAAAAAAATAACTAGATAAATAAATTCTATTTGTTCGAATTTGATCTAATAAAGTGGATCCTCTTGTTTTTTTACTCAGGACAGATATCCATCTACTGATAGAATAGAATGACTTTTAATATATAGACAGTTCCATGACTATAGCCTAGTGATAGATGTTGCAGACCAAATTCTATGATTTATGGTGATTATGATATTTTTTAAAATAGTTAAGTTGATTTTCAGTCTTATATCCCTGAAATATTGCAAACTGTTTAAGATCAATATTTCTATTTTTAAGTAATTAAAAAATATATAAATAAAAAATAAAGTATTTAAAAGCAACGTAGACATACTAATTTAATTTCACATATGCACAAAGTATATTTATTTCCTTATGCAATTGTCTAGGAACAAGAACCAACCATAGAAACTTCTTTTTTATTTTGGCCATTCTATAATATAGAATGCTATCACAAGATACAACTATCTATTTATACATTTCATTCTTAATTCTTACAATATTCTCAATATAAAGAAAAACCTTTTCAACATTAGCAGTTGAATTTGAATTAACATTAAGGGGGTCAGGGATAAAGATTTCTGAAACATTAACTCCCTGATCGGCAAGTATTTTTTGAGTAGTACTAATTCTTAGTGCATTAGATTGTTGAGTTTCCTTTTCAATATTATATGGTTTAAATATAATCAGCTTATCTGTTATATTCTTAACTACTACTACTTCTTCTTTTGATATTTTCGCTAATGTAGTTAGGTGAAATTTACACTTAGAGCACACCTGCTTTCAATTATCAATATTTTTTTCATTACAATTAGGACACCATTTACTATAACAACTATTTGAATCTATATTAAACACAACTGAATCAATTGTATTAGTTGCAGATAATTTTTCTTCACACAACAAATCAAGTATTTCAGAAATATAATTATATAATTCTTAGTCTATAACTTCTTGCATTTCAGATGTGATATCAAAAAGGTTTTCATATTGCGACCTACTTAAAGAATCAAAAGCCCAAGGATTATTAGTATATTGAATAAATTGTAAAAATCTATATTAAAATCAACAAAACTGATAATGATATAAAATATGACTATATTAAATCACCAGTCTAGGTAATTTTTTTGCTCCCTTTGTTTATTATTGAATGCTAAAAATAAAAAACCTTTAGTAAAATTTTATCTTTTTTATCTAATTCATCTAATCAATTCTGAAAACTAGAATAACTTCCCAAGCTTGTAATATGGTTATCGATATTAATGATAGTTTTTGATCATGCGATGGAGTATTTAATAGCTGATGTCATAAGACCTATTTCTAAAATATATTTTCTATATCTAGATCTATATATCAAATCAACTACCATAGCCCTTTTAAAAGTTTTTTAGTGCTTTCAAAACCTGTATCAAAATTATTGCTAGTTAATGTTTCAATAAATTCTACAACTACTGAATTACATTAACTTAATCATAATCATGAAGTATAGTTTAATAGATTTTCTAGAGAAAATCTATTATTATTTCTAATAAGAGCCTTGATATCATCATATAATGATTCTCATTGGATTAGTGCAATATCAATAACAGTCTGGATATGTTTATACTAACTATCATAATGAGAATTTTACTGTTTAGTTACAGTAGTTGCTTGTTTGCTTCAAACTGTTCTTAATACACTTCATATTGTCTTTGATATGCTTTATACTGTTCTTGATATAATTCTTCTAACCAAGAAATCATTATATAATATTCTTTGAGTTACCTGTTTAACCTAGATATTATAGTGTTTTTGTTTTGCACTTGCTGTTGTAATTTTGTAATTACATATCTATTATATTCTGCAATTTTTTCAAACTTGAATAAATAGCATGATACATCATTGACAACCATTTCATTAGTGTTAGAATTAACATCAAGTTGAGATATTCTACTAGAACTACCTAAAAGATGTTGATAAAAGTTGTTATTAGCTATGACTTGATTATAGTAGTTTACATAAATAGAAATTGAGAAAATTGTTAAGGGAGCTAACACTTATTACGTAAATATATCCCCCCCTCAGACCCGAGTATCTGGAACCTCCTAGAAACCCCTTACATAATTACCAAATAGTTGGTTTAACGGTTCTATGTAGCGCAGTAGCTAACGGTCAACGGTTTTTCCACAAGAACGTGTTATAACGGTCCCGTGTAGCGCAGCAATTAACGGTTAACAGTTATTTTCCTTGCAAGATTATGTTATAACGGCCCCATGTGGCGCAGCGATTAACGGTTAATAGTTATTTTTCTTCAAGACGTCATAACAGTTCCACTTGGTGCAGTAACTAACGGTTTTTATAAAATTGTACCCGTAATTTTTTACCAAGAATAAAACTGCATGATGGTTTGGTTTAGTGTTAGAATAACTTAGTTTCTTATATTAAAATTTCACGAAGAGCATTTTTAATTAGACTGCAGAAGGCAGTTTCTTAATTAAAATTCGAGTTTTTTTAGTTTTTTTTACAAAACCCATCAAGAGAGCACGAACTTAAAGTTGGAGTTAGCGAAGAATTTAATCAGTCATGAAACCCAAGTTTGTTTTAATGAAGGCTTTTTATGCCGTTATTTGTCAATATAAAAATAAAAATGTTTGCAGATTAATTTAAAACCAGGTAACCTTGTAAAGATTCGAATTCTCAACATCGAAAGGCTAAAAATGGATAGACAAATGTTGTTATGTAATGTTATCCAGATTGCGACTTGTACCCGGTGCTATGAAAATTTGACTGATGACTTTTCCAGAAGTCGACAGGTAAATTGATCTCTTTATGAAATGCACGTTTCCAACAAAACTTAAAGAAACTAATTAAAATACAAGAATAAATTGTAATAAAAAAAATCGAAAGAGCCGATATAATAAATATTGATACAAAATTGAATGTATCGTAAAAAAATAATAAATAAAATTGCTTTTTTTTTTAAAAAAAAAAATTTATTATCGATCAATAAAACTATACTGATTAAAATATGATATACGTTATTGTACAATTTTGAAGCTACGTACGTAAATTTTAAATTGACAGAAATTTGAGTGACGTTTAACATATATGCGTGTTTATAATCTTTTAAAAGAAAATAATTACTTACGGGACACTGGGTCCTTGTCGTTCCAATCAATCTATTGTTTTACAAGAAATGTTATCGAAGAAGGATTTGACCATATCAATAGTAGGTCTTAGTGAGTGGCATCAAACATCATCTTCCTTCTCTTCTGGACCAAATTCAATGCTATCTACACAATTTTCATCTTTAAAATCATAGTTAGGAGTAATGTTAACCTCTTTGGCAAGGTCTTTTTTGTTACATTTGACATTTGATGTTTCAAGATTAAAATCTGATTGCGAAACAAAAATTCTACCGCCATCATAGCTTCGGTTATAGTTTCTTCTGACACAATGTCTACTACTTTGTTGTACAAGATAGCCACTCCTTCTAAGAAATTGGTTATTGCTTGGTGTAGAACAATTGTTACTTGTAGCTATTATCGGATATACATTATATTAGTATTAAAATGTCATATTTTATTAAAATTCCCAAAGAAAAGCTAATTTAAAAGACCAACTCTGTACAAGATTTATAGTCGAGCCTGCAAAATTGATACTACTAAGTATGCCTACGTAACGTACATCAAGTCTTGATATGAGACTGATCGTGTGCCTAATATATTTAACAATACTCATCTTTGTTCTATATGGTGAAAGTGTTAAAACTGAAAGTAGCCTACTTTGTAGACAAAACTTCTAGATCACAGTTGGAAAAAGTACTAATTTACCTGATATTGCCGGCAAATAACAGCACCATTACACAATGCACGTTAGACAGTTCTTAATTTTACACGTGGTTTGCACAATCTCCGTAAATAGCCATATTGGGGATTATCCAGAATATGCGAAGTATGGACTAATGATAATAAAACCATTCAAGCTCGAACACCTCTTTCACATCAGTAATCAGGGTCATGAGAAATGACAAAAATCTAAATAAACAATGATAAAAGAAGTTAGAAATTGGGTTCACATAAAATCTTTTTTTACTTTTATTTGCTTTTTTCATTTATTTATTTTTTTTTTAGAATTTATTTTCCTTTTATTATTTATTTTTTATTTTTTTTATTTTTTTTATTGTTAATGTTTTTTTTTTTAATTTCTGAAAGTTATTGTAATGGTAAGTAAAAATATAACAATAATAAATATTGAAATCGCAACTTCAAGCACCTAAAATCGCATCTGCCTGAAATTACTAACCAGAATATCTAATTTTAGGGCTAACTTCAGTTAGTACAACTTCAAATGCCTGATGGTGCAACTTCAAGCTCGACAGATATATCAATTAAGGATCTTTATACTTTTTAAATTAACGCGAAAATAAAATTAATGTCGTAGCTGATGCTGAAAACGGCTGAAGCTGGAAATCAGAGACCCTGATTTAAAAATAAAAACCCTGCCAAAATCCACTTATACTCTTTCATTATCAAAACTAACCCTAAATCCTAATCTAACTATGAAAAAAAAAACTAAAAAAATGCTCCCAAAAAAATTTTGAAAATTTCATATTAAAATATTTAAAATTTCCAGCTTCAGCCGCAACAATTAATAAGAAAAAGAGTGTAAAGAACGTCATTGTCAGAATTAAAAACTTTTAATTTTAATCAATGTATAAGAGTTCTGTAATTACTGACCAGATACTGCGAATCAAATAAAATCCAAATAAGGTATGGTGTAATGATAAATACAGTAGTTAATGAAGTTTACTAAATGTGATTGTAATGATGGAAAGTCTGGTTATTATTTATTTTTTTTAAAAAAAAAAAAAAAATTGAAAATGCCCAAACCTGAAAGTGCAAATCAATAGATCCCATGATATAGTCATGATCATGTAACATGTGACCAGAATCCAGAATTCACATGAAGAACAAAAATAATTGAAACTTAACCTTATAGCAAATAGGGTTGTTAATAAATAGGAAACATTATTAAAATTATTGGATTAGAGAAAGTAAATTCAATGCAGTATACACAAATTGGTTTAAAATATCAACATTACAGGACTAAATCTGTTATATGCCAAATTGGGAAAGTTTAAAAAGTGAGTTAGCTATAGCAATATATTCTTTGCATTATACAATAATAACAAAAGGCAAAATTATTTTCAATAGTTTGTTTGTAATATGATTATACTAGCAATGGGAGAACTTAGCGGTTACTCCTTTTTTGGTTAAAGCCTGGCAGTATTCTATTGTTTCCTCAAATATATTGAATTTCAAACATGAAGTGTCTCCTGCCGTTTAATTGTTTTAAGAAATTAAGTCTTTTGTTGCAATATTCTCCTGTTCATTAAATAATTTTAATTAAGAACTTAAGCGTAAACTGTATGATACTTCAAATAAATTTTCTTCAGACAGATCAAATATAAAATTGTCAGTAACCTGTCCATTAAATTATTAAGGGATTTAAAAAATATCAATAATGAAATTATATGTATACTCTATATTTCTCACAGGCGCGTCAAATTAAAATCAAAAGTATTTCACCATCTATTAAACTGTATATTTTAATTTAAAAAATATTAATTGAATTGTATAAAAATATAATAAAAGATTAATATATTTAAATTTTCTCCAGACGCATTGAATGTAAAATTAACTGCTTACTCTATCCGTTAAACTATTAGAAAAATTAATAAAGGGGTAACTTGAAGCAAATTTTCTTCAAATATATTAAATGTAAAATCAACGGCATCCTCCATCCATTATATTAAATAAAAGACAATATAAATTCTTTTGGATGCGCACAAAAAAATGTAAAACCTACAGCCATGAGCAAATATTGTTATAACTATTTCTTAAACAAAATTACTTCACAATTGCACAAACTTCTATTGCAAATAATTAACAAGAAGTATAGCCAATTATTAGTATATTGCTTCATACGCTATAAATACTACCATAATAAACTATTATTAAAATATCTACAAAAATTTACTCAAGACACTAATTAATCCAATTGCTTTTTTCTCTGATTTCCGACTTCTGTTTTTCTTCTTTTTTCGATAATTAGTAGCATCTGACTTCTTTTTTTCCTTTTTCTTTTGGTTGTTTTCCTTTTTTTAATCTTTTTTTTCTCTTTTTTCTCTTTATTTTAATACTCGATTCCTTCTTCTTTTGCTTTTATTCTTACTTTTATTATTCGTTTCTTTTTTTCTTTCTCTTTGCTCTTCTCTTTATTTTCTCAATATGCAAGCACCAATTACGTTGGAATACAATAAATTATACATTTACAAAGTTCAAAATACCCAATATAAGGAGTTTTGCAATGCACTTGCATACGGTCTTATAGTCATTACAGAAGATCCTAAATACCCAAAGAGTGTTGCATGTGATGAATCTAATAAATTGTGGAAAACAATTAAATTGATGCCTAAGCATGAGATTCAAAATATCATAGTAAGCTTATTTAACAATACTATCCCTACTATTCTAGACCTAATTCCTACTAGGAATTTCGTTACTTCTTCTTCAATTCAAAATAAAATAATTGAGAAAATTGCTGCCTCGGATACACCACCACCAAATGCTTCAGCACAGCATAAGATAACAGAAGCTATTGCTAAAATAAATCGTGAAATTGAAGAATGTCAAAAAATCTATAACAAGACAACCGATCAGGAGGCCAAATTCAAATCAATAAAATGCATACATGACCTTAAGCAAACTCTTTATACTGAGAGTGAAAAACTCCAAACTCTTAAAAAAAATGCTGAATATCAACAGAAATACCGTGAAAAAAAAGAAAAAGACTTACAAGAAAATCAACAAGTAGTAAAATACGATTCGCCTGGGCGTCCTCCTTTATTGTTTAAGCATTCAGACTTGCTTGAACAAATTTATAAAAGTATAGAGTTCGGCGCTGCTGATAGCAAAAGGAGGAAAGAAACAATAAAAGTTAGAACTATTAACCATCTATGTGAAGAATTAGAACAAAATTATAATGAACATCTCTCTTATACTACTGTATGCAATTACTTGTTGCCACGTCATCAAAATTCAATTGCAGCAAAAAAGCATCACTATCCAACCAATGTTCAGGTTAGTACATTTTGATATTCAAAATCTTTTTGAATTGTATATGCTTATGAATATTCATATTCTGTCCTCATATAGTCTAAAAAATACACATATAATTATATGGATAATGCCAGGCTTCGATCATATTAAATTTATATGATTGAAGTCTGAATTTCTCTTGGCGTTACCCATATATAAAATTAGTATAATAAGTTAAAAAAATAAAATAGTAAATTTTTAAACAATTCTTTTTTTTTAATATGCCCATACTTTCCTTAATTTTATTAATAATTACTAGTTTAGGTTGCATCTGTCTCAAGAAATAAAATGAAAGAACATCAAGATAGTTATTATTGCCTTGCCACCGTCAAGGTGGCAAGACAATTTGCGGCCCTGTTTTCAACCGTTTCGGCAATTGTGTCTCAGGATGACAAAGCCAAAGTTCTACTTGGCATTCCTGCAGTTGGCAAAACTTTCAAAGCCATACAAAGTACTAATGAGCCGACAATTCTTCCGAATCATGATTTCCCTGTTGGCTCGCAACAGAAACTTATCTCATCCGTCTATCTCATGATTGATCCAAATGACACAAATGACACCCTTAAGTGGCCAACTGTCAATATATATTCATTTGCAATATGAAACAGAGACAAGTACTATAACGCATATGAGCGATCTATATTCATTAGTAAATAATAGCCATTTTGACAATAGGCTAAAGATTGATAATGAAGTTAGACCCATTTGGGTCCTAATTGTAGATGGGGGCCCAGATGAGAACCCCCGCTATCTAAAAAATATTTACCAATATTGTAGAATGTTTCATTCTTTCAATTTAGACTACTTGACTGTTAGGACCCATGCTCCAGGTTAGTAATCTAAAATTGTCAAATTATTTAGTAAACTAGTTAGTTGATTAAATACTTTAACCAAATAAAAGTTAACTAATTAACATTGGTCAAAATTATAATTTCTGCCAAAATAATACTAGTTAAATTAAAAAATTCAAATTTTTGAATAGCATAAATCAATGCTATCCGTCAAGTTGAATTTTGTTAATTGAAATTAGTATAAAATAATAATTGGAATCATAATATTAATTAAATAAAAAATTTCACAATAAATATTAATCAACTAGCGAACTAAATATTATTTGTCCTATTAATTACTCCAGGTCAATCAGCATACAATCCTGTTGAAAGGAGTATGGCGTCACTTTCAAGCAAGCTTGTGGGTATAGTTCTACCTGTGAATAATTATAGTTCCCATCTTAATTCACAGAGTAAAGTCATTGATCCGGAGCTTGTGAAAAAAAATTTTAAATATGCGGGTGATCTTCTTTGTGATTTATAAAAATGGGACCCCATATTTGGAAAGCCAGTTATAACCGAGTATGTCGACATAGAAAAGTTTTCAGGGTCGAATAATAGCATTGATAATTCCAATATACCTTGGGAATGGATAGAAATACATACAAGAATTTGTAAATACTCTTTGGATGTTAAAAAGTGTGATAACATTACATGTTGCTTGTCTAAACAGTGTAATAAGACTAGTGATCTTCTTGCCGCCAATAATGGCTTTCTTCCGCCTCTTGTAATGGGAAAAGATGGCCATTATGTTAACCCGATTCATCTATTAGAGTATGATAACAAGGAGAAAATTCCGGGGAATGACGAACATTGTCCCTCTATCACTAAAGATGATTACACAAAACACTTTTGTCCTGTGTGTAAAAAGTATTTTTCAACAACCTCGATGGTTGTTACCCATGAAAAAAACCAACACTCTCATTTAGTTAAAC